CGGCTGAAGGAATCGAAATGTAATATGGTACAGGGATAGAATGTGGTGTGGAATAACACTTTTGTTCCACGGGAACGCGGTCGAACCCGCAGAGGCTAGTTCGAATATTATAAATTTAATTAAAATAATTGGACTGCCTCGTTGGCCGAGTGGTCGTAAGTGCGACTGCCGGGCAAGGGGTCTCGGGTTCGATTCCCGGGTCGGGCAAAGTATTACTGGGTTTTTAAATATTCTCAGTAGTAGCACGAAGTCTGGAATTGTGCCCGGTATATGGCAATAGGCTCACCCCCTATTATATGGGACTCATAATATAAATAGTGAAAAGTGGGTGTTACATTATACAGTGGTTTAATGTGCACCTCTGCCTACCCCTTCGGGGATAAAAGGCGTGATGTTATGTTATGTTAAAATAATTCTTGTATAAACTATGTTCGACAAAAAAACAATATAACAAAATGCTCTCATTTTAATGGTATTTAACTCGTCGAGTACCGGTTTTGTAGACACAATTATCGAACAATAGGTTGCGGTCACCGGTGACCGCTTGGTGTTTGACAGTTTAAATATTACCCTACCAATTAATAAAAAAATGGTATCAGAATACATTTATCAAGAAATGAAAAATAAATAATTCCTTTAGACTACGTTTAAGGCTTTGACTGCCGACAGAAAACTGTTGAAAGTAAATCCTCCGCTAGCGTGGCTCATACCTTGTCCCCCATGGCGTTCAAGGTGTTAAAAAAATCGACTTGGCCCCCCCGATTTTTTGAGGTTTTATTAATGTATTAAATCCTTCTGCTAACTGTTTCGGAGAACTTAACGGGTTACCTTGGCTCCGGCTCGACGTGCAGTAGAAGGAACGGGGTGGTTTTTAGTCAGTAAGAGTTTGACACTCCCTCCCGCCTCACCTAGGCGGGAGAAGTTGGAGTTGTTGGAGATACAGGGATTGGGGAGATCAGGGAACTGGACCTCTGGTAATCTTACTCACACGATGAAACACAACGCAAGCGTTGCTTCACGTCGGTTTTCTGCTCGGCCGTGGTATCACTCCGGTCGAGCTGACCTATTCGTGCAAGCATGGCTCTCCCACACTTATAACAAACAAAGGAATAATTAATTGTTGTTTTTACTTTTATATACAGGTGCTATCATCGAAGTCTGTAGACGTGGGCACGATAAAGTACCCAGCGCCCTCTACTGGACAGACGGAGGACACTATATTCGTCACTCCTGCGCAACTCGCCAAGTAAGTACCTAATCGTATAGTAATTAAACTTTTTGAGAATCGTCATTTCAAGACGCGCGGGGGCGTTCGGATTACAGAGGGGTTCGGATTAGAGGGGGTTCGGATTAGAGGGGGTTCGGATTAGAGGGGGCTCGGATTAAAGGGGGTTCAGATTAGAGGGGGTTCGGATTAGAGGGGGCTCGGATTAAAGACGTTCTGCTGTATAATCTTTAAAAAAAAAGCGAAAATTTTTGAATTGTATTCATTCATTCATTTTTTTTTTCACCAACAGATTACGCGAATTGGTGACAGAACTTCAATCGGACGACGTGAAACTGGAACTACTGCCGCTGGACAACACCGTCTGTGCTGCTTAAATATAGAGGGTACTTTGATAACAAGCATAATGTTAGAGTGAGATACGTGTGAAAGAGATAGAGATATCTATTGTTAATTATATAGGGTGAAATATTGTAATGCTATCTGAAGGGAAGTACTGTCAATACTTTAGATGTCGCGGAGAACCTAACGGGTAACCGGGGCTCCGGCTCGACGTGCAGGAGAAGGAACGGGGTGGTTTTTAGTCAGTAAGAGTCTGACACTCCCTTCCGCCTCACCCAGGCGGGAGCAGTCATTCGATGATTTTTCCCCCCTATATATATATAACTAGTAGAGCTTTTCTCAGTATATTCACGTGAGTAACCCGCCATTTTTTGGTAATGTTTTCTTTTAGTAACATTTTCTATCTAAAGTATTAAGATTACTTTCCCTTCAGGTGGTATTACAACATTCCACCCTATATAGGGTTTTATGACCGATCTGGATTCAAAATCTTCGACTGTACCACGGTAATATTATCATACAGTATTGTACCTCGGTCGCTTGACAGAGTTAAATACCTACAGTCGCGCGGTACGTAAACATGCGTTAGGGCTGCCCGTCTCGATAGCGACCTCTCGCGTCCGGGCCTAGTGCAGGCCATGATGCGGAGCGAGGGGGACTGGGATGCCGTCTCCTCCTTTTGCGAAGCAGTCATGCTAGCTAAGGAGGAGGCGGGACGCGTGAGAGCAACCCACAACCCAGCCATCGCGAAGGACGGACCGGGCGTCGGGGATCGCGGGACGATCTCCGGCCACCGGCCGGACGCGCGGGCCGGAGGACATACAGCATGGGGGGCTCGTCGTCCGACCAGAAACAGACCCGAGCGTACGGCGCCGAGCGTGGAGCGCGCCTCAAAGAGCCATCGGACCACCACGGGTGTGGCCCAATAGGGCTGATGCCGATATGGAGTCGCGGAGAACCTAACGGGTTACCGGGGCTAAACTACCGGGGAAATATTGTGTTGTTCTTGATTGTTGAATCATCGAATGACTGCTCCCGCCTGGGTGAGGCGGGAGGGAGTGTCAGACTCTTACTGACTAAAAACCACCCCGTTCCTTCTCCTGCACTTTGAGCCGGAGCCCCGGTTACCCGTTAGGTTCTCCGTGACAGGCACGTAGGTATAGATCTCGTCTCGTCCGTTTGTATGAAGTTGGAATACTGGTAACTTTCAATTTATGTATAATTTCCATACATAAATGTATGTATGGGGTTTTGTCAAAAATTTTAATCGATTCAGAGATTTTATGTTCAGATCGGTTTTTCATTTCAGCTGATAGTATATAATATAATGTTTATTTAGTAAAATGCATCAAAAGGCAATGTTTTAAACATTAAGTATTATTTATTGGAATATTAAGTTTTTTCATTAAGATTGTAACTGCTGAGCTACGGCGCGTAGGTTCGATTCCTGGAAAAGGAAGTTTTATTGCGTCTTGATATCTTATAGTTTCTTGATTAAGGAAATCCATGCGTTGTGAGTACATATTTTTTTTTATTAAAGTCAAAGTCAAAGCATTTATTTCAATTAAACCATAATTTGGTACTTTTGAATCGTCAACTAATACAATATATATAATAGTCTCAGTCAGTCCGTCAGTGAAGCTAGTTGAAGCTAGGTGCTCATTCCAAAATGTACTAAATACACTTAGTACATTAATCATACTTTTCCCGACCCAGGAATCGAACCCGAGACCCCTTGCCTAACAGTCAGTCTTGCGAACACTCGGCCACCGAGCGAGACCATGTAATAATAATAATAATAAAGTAAAATATACACCTCTGCCTACTCCTTTAGGGAATAGAAGGCATGATGTTATTTTGTAATTTGGTTTATGTATCTCAATTAATCCCGTAAGAGATTAATATCTGATGATACTGTTGTTGAGGACATTGAAAAAAAGCGGACACAGGGACGTAGCTAGTCGTACCTTTTTTTTTGGGACAAGCCCGCCACAACCTCCCAAAACCGCTGCAACTCCTGTAAGCCAGGATCTACAGTAGATACAACCATGAAGACACCGGAACACTGAAGTCCGGCGCGTCCCAGGGACATGAGTAACCGTCTTGGTTCCCGCAACGAAGTGAATCAGAAGTTATTATAAGAGGAGAAGAAGAAAAATGATAGTTTCCACTTCCCTAGCGCCGTATCTGGCTTATCAGTTATGGGGACCATATTCCATGGCAGTACCTTTGGAAAAACTAAAGTAATCACAGTCCGATAATACGGTAATAATTGTATGGTATGAGACCGGAGTGATACCGCGGCCGAGCAGAAGACCGACGTAAAACAACGCTTGCGTTGCTTCACGTCGTGTGAGTGAGGTTACTGGAGGCCCAAGTAACCCCCCTTCCCCTTTCCCCAATCCTTGAATCCCAACAATCCTCAAATTATCTTGTATTTCAGATATTTGTGTCTCAAATAAGTCACATCTCTGTAAGTGTAATGACGGGCGTGCGAGACTTTGCCTCACCATTTCTTTTCTAATTACCCATTTTCTGACAGTTTGAGTATTTGTGCGACCCACGCAAATATTCTTTAGGTTGGTATTGTTCGTCGAATCAGTCAGCCTCACCTGTTAATTGAGTTGACCGTAAACCGACACATGCGTAATGCCTTCACAACGGGTCTGCTCAAACTGTTGTGGTTCTTTCCTCAAAAGGCCACTACAGAAAGAACTTGCACGGTTTTCACACATAATCTATTATACATACTGTCTGGACTTTAAAATAGACAGACCTCTGAGTTTGTTTCGGCATTTCTTCTCAGATAAGTCAGTTAGGAAATGTCGGCCTCATCGTTCGCTTGATAAAATTGACGTGTAAAAGTGCTGCCTTGTAGCCTATTTGCAGAAATAAATTGACTTGTTTCACTTGCCATGTCACGCGACAGATGTCCTTCGTGTCAATGTGTGAGTTCTGCGTGTAAGTGTATAGTAGCCAGGTGCCACAGTCGTTGTTTCAAGAGACTGTATTCGCATTTTTTCAATGTCCTTGACTATTGTAATAAATTAAACGAATTATCTATACAGATAAATACAATTGCAATGTCTGTTTGTAATATTCAAATACCAGATTTTTACTGTATTCTGTCTGTCTGTTTGTACTGGCTAATCTCTGGAATGGCTAGATCTATTTCGATGGTACTTTATTGACATAAAGTCGAAAATCCAATGGATAAATTTGATAGATTTGAGTAGGTAGCTAATGGCCAGCAGCCACAGTACGAATTATACATAGTTATTAAATAGTAATTAGACTTTGACTGCCTCGTTGGCAGAGTGGTCGCAAGTGCGACTGCCGGGCAGGGGTCTCGGGTTCGATTCCCGGGTCGGGCAAAGTATTACTGAATGGGTTTTTAAAAAATTCTCAGTTGTAGCACGGAGTTTGGAATTGATTGTGCCCGGTATATGGCAATAGGCTCACCCCCTATTACATGGGACTCATAACATAAATAGTGAAAAGTGGGTGTTACATTGTACAGTGGTATTAAGTGCCGTAATGTGCACTTCTGCCTTCACCTTCGGGGATAAAAGGCGTGATGTTATGTATGTATTAAATAGTAATTCTTTTATTAGTTATTATCTCGTTGATCGAGAGTATAATAAAATGCACTTATTTAATAAGATGTCTCGGGTGCGATATCTGAGTCTGGCAATTTTTTTACGGCCGGTGACGCACTTGTAACGCCTCTGGTGTTCCATGTGTCCATGGGCGACGCCGATTGCTTACCATCAGGTAATCCGTCTGCTCGTTTACCGGCTTATGTCATAAAAAAAATGATATTGATCGGAAAACAATTATAAATGATGGGTTTAAGTAACGGTGGGAATTCATCACCTCTATATAAATTATTATATTAGCTTGTTCTCTGCTTATACTAATATTGTTAGCATGCTTGTGTATGTATATAAGGAATATGTTCACGTACTTATAATTTAAATATAAATACTTGTAATACATAAATAAATATATCATTATTTATTGACTTTTGTGTTTTATTTTTTACTATAAGATTGTCGTAGATACCTTGGTTCTAGTAAGAGAGCCATGTTTTAGCACTAGGAGAACCTAACGGGTAACCGGGGCTCCGGCTCGACGTGCAGGAGAAGGAACGGGGTGGTTTTTAGTCAGTAAGAGTCTGACACTCCCTCCCGCTTCACCCAGGCGGGAGCAGTGATTCAATGATTTTCCCCACTTAAAAAAAACTGGGCCGGCTCGACCAGAGTGACATCACGGCTTCAAAGAAAACCGGCGTGAAACAACCACAGCGTTGATTGTATACAGTCATGGGTGTGAGTGAGGTTACATAGGTCCTATCCTACTTCGTAATTACTTTGGAATAAGCCGGTAAACGAGCAGACGGATCACCTGATGGTAAGCAATCGGCGTCGCTTATTGACACCTGGAACACCAGTGGCGTTACAAGTGCGTTACCCACCTATAGGAAATTGGGTATTTGACAATTGTGGGGGTTTCGAGGATTGGGGAGACTGGGAGGGGGGGGGGGGGAAATTGGGCCCCCGATAACCTCATTCAAACGACAAAACACAATGCAAGCGTTGTTTCACGTCGGTTGTCTGTGAGGCCGTGGTATCACTCCGGTCGAGCCGGCCCATTCGTGCCGAAGCATGGCTCTACTACACTTAAAATGGAAGAAAATGGATAAAATCCCTAATATGTTGACAACGCGTTTGAAACGCCTCTAGTGTTGAAAGTATCCATGGGTGGCGATGATTGCTTACCATCAGGTGATCCGTCTGTTCTTTTACCGTCCTAAACCATAAATATGCATGGACTCTAATATTATTGAGGGCCTCATTGACCGAGTGGTCGCAAGTGCATCCCCACGTCGCGGAGAACCTAACGGGTAACCGGGGCTCCGGCTCGACGTGCAGGAGAAGGAACGGGGTGGTTTTTAGTCAGTAAAGTCTGACACTCCCTTCCGCCTCACGCAGGCTCCCCCCTTAAAAAAAAAGTGCATCCCCACCATATAGATGGTTGGCAGGACAACTGTGCGCTTCTCACGTAGCTTCCTGCCTCGCACAGCAAAACTGTAGAATGATCTGCCGTCGGCGGTATTTCCGAACCGATACGAACTTCAAACCTTCAAGAAAAGAGCGTATTCCTTGTT